AGGTGTAGAAATACCTTGCTAGTTGACTTGCGTACCAAGCTGAGATAGGAGTGTGAAGTAGTGGAAGCCATGGTTGCTATGGTAGCTGTGGTAGCCCTGGTAGCTGGAATCTCCAACATGCCTACTCATGCAATCTGACAAAAGGCAGCAACGGAACTAGGCTGAAGTGCATGTACAGTGCTGGCAACTGAAATCCGACCCCTGAGCGGTGCGCTCACATCGCACAGACCCAACACGGGATTGTAAAGATACGACATAGAGACCGCTAGAATGTGAACGCACCGCTCAGGGGGCGTATTTCAGTTGCTAGCACTGAAGATTGTTACGCAGAGTTTCATGGTTATTCACCAATCTCCAGCCTACAATAATATCTGGTGCTTTACACATTCTGCTGCAATAATTATGTGTTTTCACTGTCTATGATACTTCCTGGTCTAGAGACAAAATATCCTGCTTACAAGTGAGAATTTTGGATCTTTGTTATCAACTTTAACACTGAACATCTGTATGCCTATTACACTACATGTATCTAGCTTTTCTGGTAGTATATCGCTGTATGTTATGACTGCTATCATTCGACACAGCCGCTTTGGCCATTTCTACCCCCCCCCCCCCCCCAGTCAATCAATCAAACATCTCTTGCTGGCTGCTATCCAGCAATGCGCTTGATTATTTCTGTTTAGATTTATCCTTTGGACCGTTTGAGATTATTCCGGCAGCACCGTTAGCACTCATAATGAGACCATTAGGCACAAACCAGTACCGTATACATAATTTTCTTCAAGAACAAGCCCCAGGTGAGATTTCTCTCGATTGAGGCATTTCAGTGGTGTAAGTCTCGGATGAACCCCATGCATCGGCTCGGTTTGTTGGTTCTCTTCATACACTGGCTCACTCCAGTGGTGTGTACTGGTAAGCCGGATACAATGTACTAGATTCTATGAATCTCGGTGTAGGGGGTGGGTGGCTGAACTGGACCCAGCCACCCTTTATGATGAACTAACTTGTACGTGTGTGCGGCACATAATTGTGCATGTGCGCATACTAGCTGTCTGTGGGCATGCAACCCCTTATCCAGCAGGAGAGGAGCTGAATACAATGTCATGTACATGTACATGTGCGTATACACTACATCATTACATGTACATGTACATGTTTGCATAAGCCTCTTAAACGGGCAACCACAGAACATGATATCACTGGCCTGGCACACCAACTACATAATATACATTACAGTGTGCATGTACATGTAGCCCCTATGCCTGTGGTCCAGCAGGAGAAGAGCTGAATATACATGTACAATGTACATGACTGTATGTACAGGACAGGACAGGTGCACCCATTTTCGCATATTTAATATAGGAAAGCAAGTGTAGGAACAAAGTAGCACTAGCAGCGATCTCCAGGACAATTCGGGAGAAAAAGCAAGTAAGGCGAGATTAGTCTCAGTGACTGAGGTCAAGTGTATGATGTATCTATGGAGTGATAAAACCTGCGACTGGCAACAAAAAAAGCCTACTCAAGCTCAACTGATGCCGCTGAGGGGTGAATTGAACCTGCACGCATAACTTATGCATGGTTGATTGAAATGGTCGTAAATACATGTACCCGGCATTATACCTCACTCCATATACATGTACATGTACACCACTAAGGGAAATTAGCAGTAGTTGACAGAGAGGAACAAGCCATTAGGAAGCCACGCATGGTGAATATGGAGAGGACTCACGCCCCTACATGGCTACTTCCCATTGTCTAACCCCCACTGAGATGAAATGATAGTAGCCGACTCCGAAATTAAAACATATGGCGAGGTATCTCTTAATTTGCTGGCCAAAAATCCTATATATAGGATTTGAAAATATGTGACCTGTATGCCGTTGTTATTGGTCATCATGAGTCATTCATGACCCATAATAACGGCATGATGGTTTTCATAGAAGCTGTAAATATGTTTGAGGCATGAATGTTTACTTTTTAGATTCATAGGACATCATGAATACCCATTTTCAGCTAGAACTGGAACTTTGAGCAGCATTGTTAAGCTGGTGTCATGGAAACGACTGAAGCAGTAAATGAGCAAAAGAACATTACAGGTGTGGCACGGGGTGGTTTCATGACGACATATCGCACATGCCGTCGTGAAACTACCAGTTTTAAGGATAAAACAAGGTCCATTAAAATCTCAAATCCTATATATAGGATTCAAAAAATAGGGCACATGCCTTAGAAATATTGCGCAAGGAGATGAGCTTTAGATGTTAGTATTTGAAAAAATTATCTTATTCAACTCTCCATATCTACTAAGACCTAACATGGAAGATTTGGTCACATACGTTTCCCTATACTCATGCCACACCCATTTTGAGTTGAAAAATATGACCACGAAAAAACGGATTTAGCAAATTAAGAGATAAATAATTCTTGACTAGTTTGAGGGAAAGAGACAAACGGGAAAAGTCTGAAGAAAAAATTGGCTGTCACCACCAGGACTCGAACCAGGGACCCTCGCTTGTAGCTAGCGATGCTCTAACCACTGAGCTATGGTGTAGTCGTCATCCCAGCAGAGACCGTTCAACATTTTCTTCAGACTTCGTAACTCACACTTCCTGTGAATCCACACAGGCGGGTGGGACGCAGCCCTCACTGTAACCATGGTAACCCACACACTTCACGTACAAACTAGCACGCGGGGAGCCCCAGGTCATAAAATCTTGACTAGTGTGAGGGGAAGACACAAACGGGAAAAGTCTGAAGAAAAAATTGACTGTCACCACCAGGACTCAAACCAGAGACCCTCGCTTGTAGCTAGCGAGGCATAATTATTATTATAACAAAGGGGCCTCGTGTATATCGAGATATATACATGTACACCAGTTATAAAAACCTCGGCTTCGCCTCGGTTTTTATACTGGTACGTGGTGTATAATTATCTCTATAGTATACACTCGGTCCCTTGTTATAATCTATACATCTAGCGGTAAATACACGCCTGCCCTCACATCCTCTCTAGGCTGCAAGTATTACATGTGTATACAGTAGAGTCGCACGCCCAAGAACGTTGTTTCCAAGGGGTTAGCCTGGGACGTTCTTATTTAAAAGCAATCTGGCTGCGTTCTTAAGTTATAGGACGTTCTTAGAAACAATCCGTCCTGGATCATAATTATGTATCTCGTAAGCTGCCAGAAAACCAACACCGCCGTTCTTAGCTTTTAGGCTGTGGCGTTCTTAGAATTTCAGGCTGGACGTTCTTGGGCTCCACGTTCTTCAGCGCGCGACTCTACTGCAGTTATTCTGGCACAGAGCTCTCCCAAGTTCTCACCACCACCACCATCAGTTCGCGCCTGGCGCCTAGTCGATGCATGGTTGGCGGTATCCGACAATCGGACAATGCCATATATGTAGCAAGCTGGTACACCAGGTAGCGCAGCGGCTTGGCACATAGCAGATGACACAACGACAGACCTCGATTGCGATCGTACACGTACGTAACGTTTCGTCCCCGCTGCATGCATCGAGTAGGCTGCATCGACTAGGCTGCATCGACTACTAGGCGCCGGGCGCGAACTGGTGGTGGTGGTGGTGGTGATGAGAAGGAGAGCTCAGTGCCAGAATAACTGCAGCCTAGAGAGCGTGTGCGGGCAGGCGTGTTTTTACCGCCATATTACCAGGCGTGTATTTACCACCATTGAATCCAACATAACTTCATAAGTACGGCTGCATTGGTATCCTCCACTTCATTCCCACAGTTTCGTAGATGCTGACAATAGGTAACTTACCTTAAGCCGGAGCATACAGAGCGGACACTGAAACTGACAAACAGGCTCTGCTGGCAGGCATTCGCACCCACACACATGCACACACACACGCACACCCACATCCACACGCACCTTAGACCTTAGACATGCCCATCGCGGGAGCGATGATAGCGAACAGCTATGTTAGACATAGCAACTTGTGCTGGGATTACACCACACACACCCACCCACACACACACACACACACACACCTCAGACCTCAGACCTGCCCATCGCGGAAGCGATGATAGCGAACAGCTATGTTAGACATAGCAACACACACACACACACACACACACACACACACACACACACACACACACACACACACCATGACACACACACACGTACACACACACACACACACACACACACACACACACACACACCATTGGCCATTTGACGCCCATCACCGGAGGCGATGATGACGATGCCACAGCAGGAGCCATAGCAACTTGTGCTGGGATTGCACCATTCAACAGCTTGGAAGTCTGAAGAATTGACCGCCAAACACACACACACACACACACATAAACACACCATACACACACATTCATGCACACACACACGTACACACACATACACACACAGACACGCACACACACACCTCAGACCTCAGACCTGCCCATCGCGGAAGCGATGATAGCGAACAGCTATGTTAGACATAGCAACTTATGCTGGGATTACACCATTCAACAGCTTGCAAGGCTACATGTACATACACGCACACACACGTACAGCTAGAGGGAGAGAGGATGTGAAAGAAAGAGAGAAAGAATGGACAGATACTGGGATAGGCACGCGCACATGGTACGTACATGTACATGTAGTGACGTTTGCGATAATTATTTCATAAGATAGTTGATGGGTTTCCGTACTGCATGCATTGGAACTAACGCTTTTCCCGCCGACTGGACACTTGACTGACTCACTACTGCCATCCAGAGCTGAGAGCACACAAGAAGTCCATCGAACCAGTTTGCCGAGTCGAAGGTTAGATCAGGGAGTAGTAGGGTATTTTACTGCGATCAAGTACTCCCTGAAAATTTGAGTAGTCAATAATCGTGTGTGTATGTGTGTGTGTGTGTGTGTGTATGTGTGTGTGTGTGTGCGCATGCGTGCGTGTACGCACATGTGTGTGTGTGTGTGGGTGCGCATGCGTGCGTGCACGAGCGCGCGTGTGTTTGTGTGTGTGTGTTTGTGTGTGCGTGTGTGTGTGTGTCTATGTGTGTGTGTATATGTGTGTGTCTATGTGTCCATGTGTACAGGAAGATATCCAGAGAGAGCGGGAAGCAGGGATCATTGTGGACACTGTAAGAATAGCTATGATGCCGATCTTCTTCTTCTTTTTTTTCTTTTTTTTAACACGCTCGGGTCATATCCACTTTTATACCATCACCTGTCATCTGCGTGAGGAAAAAGCGACTGCATGCTGATGATTAACTAATGGTGTAGGGCAGCTCAACCATAACACCCACACAATTGTTGTTGCCACTCTCTCCTGCACAGCAGTATCACATTCAGATCGTGATTGGTCTTGCCCTGAGCCTTTAGTTTTCATTTCAGAACTTTGGTTATAGGCTCTGTCACAATGGTTATTGCTTCGTGAGTTGGCGAGGGTGGAGGGTCGGGTTCCCCTCCCGTGATTAGTGCTGCACCGAGCTTGTTTTGTGTGAAAGTATAATTATTATATTATTATTAGCACACGAAGAGACGAAGCTAGTTGTAAATCTGATAAGGTCTTTCGTATCATTACTCTTCAAAATCAGTACATGGTGATAATGTGACGAAGCACAACGATGTCAATTTATACAGCATATTGGCGGAAAAATTGTGATGAAACGAACACAGGCTGAATGATAGTGTGAGTTGCGCCAAAGAGTACACCTCCCTGTTATAGTGCGTGTACTCTTTGGCGCCACTCACACTATCATTCAGTCTGTGTTCATTTCATCACAATTTTTCCGCCAATATGCTGTATAAATTGACATCGTTGTGCTTCGTCACATTATCACCATGTGCTGATTTTGAAGAGTAATGATACGAAAGACCTTATCAGATTTACAACTAGCTTCGTCTCTTCGTGTGCTGATATGTTTCCCTCCGACTAAGTCTCTATATAATTATTTAATATTCTTATATTTAGAAGTATTGGGAAATTAGAGGTCACATGCCACGTACTGCTGCTCTTTTGGTTCGAGTCCCGGTGGTGTGACTGATGATTTTTTCATTTTTTCATATCTGGCTTGCAAGTGTTGAGTTTCGGAGAGAAAAGAGCAGTACGTGGCATGTGGCCTCTAATTTCCCAATACTTTAAAATTCTCCGTGAAGTCCAAATTTGAAATTGCAATTTAGAAGTATTACAAAATAATTGAGAGGCTTTGAATCGTTTTTATCAAAATCTAAATATTTGCCGGGTTGGAAGGTGGGAATCAAAAAAAGAGAAAAAGTTATTGCTACGTGCTACCAAGGTACTGGGGGTTAACATTAGCATGGGGCTGCTTTTGCCAACAACTATGGTCTATACAGCTCTGGAGGTGTCTGCCTTGTGACGTGTTTGTATAGGCACACACTCTGTTCTGTTCGGGTCAACCCATGCACTGTGTGTGTATGCACAGTTCTGGCCTGAGCAATCCAAAATCATGAATGAAGAAGCGCCACGCTCAAGTGCGCCGAGTGTGTTAGCTACTTTTGGCTAAAGCACTCTCATCGGACAGTCTCGTAGTTTTACGACAGGAAGAAGTATTATGACAGAAGTATAGAATGAAGAATGATGGGCGATCCTGTATAATCACTATGACAAAGAAACGAGAAATACGAATTCTCAAATAGTGAGTACAGTACAGTATACTCAATCTGCAGACAGAACTGTTTCGTCCTTTGTGGACTCGTCAGCGCAGCACAGAGGAAATAAGGCCGAATCATAATATATATGTCTTAGCATACACCCAATGCTGTAGACAGGCTGTTTTGACCGCAAAAGGCCTCATCAGTACAGCTACGAGCTAAATAGGCCGAGCTGTCTTAGCATACATGTAAGTACACCTGCTACAAGTGTTGTGTGTGGTGTTAGGGCCACCTAGGGCCCACCGACGCTATTACGGTAACATTCACGAGGTCAGATTTCTCTGGCTAACACTGTAGCACGTTGTTGTTGTTGTATACTTTATTTATAGTGGAAATCAAAACAGGCATATGCCTACTGACAATGGACCCACTGCGCCTTGATACCCCGGGGGCTGTGCTTGATACCCCGGGGGCTGTGCTTGATACCCCGGGGGCTGTGCTTGATACCCCGGGGGCTGTGCTTGATACCCCGGGGGCTGTGCTTGATACCCCGGGGGCTGTGCTTGATACCCCGGGGGCTGTGCTTGATACCCCGGGGGCTGTGCTGATGCAAAGCCGGTTTGGTTGTCCTGTTGTTGTTGTTGTTGTTGTGCTGCAGAAGAATGATGAGAGCACGCGTAGCACTGTGGGACTGACGGGCGGCGGCATGGGCGGCGGTGGCGGTGGTGTCACCCTGCCACAGCTCACCAGTGACAGTTTGACGGAACTGGCCGCGGCTCACACCAGGAAAAGCGAGTTGCATGCTCCCGCGGAATAATGCGCACCCAGGGCATACTAAGCCGGGAGCGTGTCCCAAGACCACGGAAAGAAGTCCGGTCTTGCCCGTGGTCACCATTCCGTATCCGCATCTCTTTGATATTGCACTCTTGTCTTTCTTGAGAAAATTCACTAGCTTGTTTCAAGTTGTTTGTCTGTGAACCAATCAAGGCAAGCATACCGACATTGGATATGCGCGCTATGTGTCTCTCTATCTTCTTCCAGAGGATAAGCCACCTCCACCTCCACAACGGGCACCGACCAAGTTGCCGACTATTGAAGGTGGTGCTTCGCAATTCTTCAAGTAGCACGGTAAATACAACACGCGTGGCCAAGAATAACATCCAGGCTTGGCGGTGCACCAGAGACTGGCGCAGCTGGATTAATTGTGTTCCCAAAAGCACCTCCTGTTTAGTTCGCATGGTACGTTTCCCGGGAGGCTTTCTGGATGTCAGCCCTGGGTAGTGTTTTCACACTTGTTCACCGAGGATGACGCATGGTAACGTATGCCCCTGCCCCCGGGCTACTACCCCCCTGCCCCGGGCTACTACCCCCCCCCCCCACCCCTGCCCGGGCTACTACCCCCCACCCCTGCCCCGGGCTACTACAGAGTGCAGTGTGTTCAAGGGCCAGTGCCCAGTGTGCTGTAGTCTATCTCCTCCTCCGCTGCTGCTGGTGCATAGAGACATGTACGCGCAAGGTTAGTTTGAGTCCACACCAAATGCCCCGCCGGCGTATACCCTTTACCAGAATGAAGCGTACAGCATTTGCAGGGATGATCACTGTATGCAATGTGCGGTGCTTTCAAGTATATGTACAGTGATTCCGGGCCGGACGCTCGCTGTTTCTGGATTTCTTCTCGCAAAGTTTTCTGCATTCCTTGAGACCACGTAACGCTATCTGAGTTGACTGACTGCCCTATCAACAAATCCACCGACTTTTTCCTGTCGCTCACGTATTGTGCAAGTCACGGCTCTGCTTGTATAAACAATTGTATATCATGGTAATGTCACACAGTCATGGAGGTGGGAAATGGGCTCATATCTCTGCACCAGTTTGCGCATTCTAATTGCTCCGGCTAATGTTTCCTTGGCAACAGTTGTAGTCTGAAGTTGCATTTGCTTCGATGCACACAATAATGGTCATGTGAAGGTGTGTGTGTGTTTTTCTGCAGCAGTGAATCTAATGCAGTAATGGTCATGTGAAGGTGTGTGTGTTTTTCTGCTGCAGTGAATCTAATGGTCATGTGAAGGTGTGTGTGTGTTTTTCTGCAGCAGTGAATCCACAACCAATGCACTATACTTTTAAAAGAGCCCGGTGACGCTGTCACATTTATTGTCAATTATTTGATTTCGTATAATAGTATTATGTACCGCTGGTTTAGTGCATTTCACACGTCTCAGCCGTATCTCTTTTTGCAACACCAAAACACTGAGAAGTACACTTGCTCGATTATTTTGACAGATGCCCTTGCTGCTGGTGTTGGGTCACTTGATTTCACCAGTGCCGGGCAGTGTGTTGGGCCACTTGATTTCACCAGTGGCAGCGCGCAAGTAACAGATACTTGCTACCCAGTCACTGGTGGTTAGACTACATAACAGGGCTTGTGGTATCAGTATTGCAACCGCGAAAAGTTGTAAAAATTATGAATTTTGGTTCCACTCGGATCGTGTCCACTGTGGTTGGACACACATTTGAAGTCCCACACATGAGTAAACACCTGGCCAGTCAGTGGTCTGGCACACTGGCTGTGCTGAGGAGCCCACCAATCATACAATAATAATAATTATGACTATAATTATGAGTACACATGAGTAAACACCTGGCCAGTCAAAAAGCAGAAATTTTCGGTGGTGTTATATTTTCGGTAACTTCGGTGCCGACAATTTTTACCGAAAATAAAACGTGCCGAAATTAAATTTCGGCACTATCAGTATTGTATACATGTAGTACTAGTACACTTACCTGGAAAACGGGTTTTACCGAAAATTTCCCTCCACCGAACTGCCGATTTGGGATAAATACCGAAAATATTCCACCACCAAAAACTTCTGCTTTTACAGTAGGAGGCATGGGTGCACAGTCTGTACCACCTACCTGACCAGGAAGTAACACTTGCATGTACAGTGCAGTTGTAAAGGCAGGGTGGGGTGGGGCGGGGGGCTATCGTGCCAACTCCTGTACCTGACCTGGGTGGTTACACACAAACACCTACCGGTACATGCTAGGACAGCAGGAAGAGGATTAAAGGGAAACTGAACGCCAAAAATAAGTATGGCTTATCCGAAGGAGAATTGGGCACTGATTCCGATGAGCTATGTCTCGAGCCGATCAGAGAAGAGGAACTGTGTCAAATTTCATAAATAACACCTCCCATATTTGGAAATTGGCCTTGATGACGTGCGTACTGCTTAGCTGTCACCATGCTGTGCATGTTCAGCAGTGTAATTGAATGGAAGAAAACAATTACTTTGGTGTTTTGCAGCTCTGTTTCGTTCCCTGACGGTAACCAAATCTAGATGTAGGGATCTGTTGAGCAGGAGAGTGACACATGTCTTCCCGAAGGCTGTCCAGGCTGCAGTGGTGATGAAGAAGACACGATCATCACCCCGAGATCGATCGTAGCGAATTGGAAAACTCATGGTGAATTTGCTTCCACTCCAAGGCAATGTCGAGGTATGAAGGGTGCTTGTACTGCCTTCCAAAGTGAAAAGGAGATGAACATGGCTTTGCATAGCTGTTGTTCTATGCCAACTTACCTACTCTTGCTGGTACTGTAGTGGCATATTGCAAATTTCGTGGACGAACAACTCTAGTCACTAGTGGCTAGTGAGCAACACTAACAGGTGAGATTTTTCAATTCGACAAAAATTGTTTTTGTTTGAGAACTGACAGTGGCAGTCATTAGACTCAGTAGGTGTCTCTCTGCTGCTTCTTTCCCTTCATCGGTAGGGTTGTGCTTGAAGTAAAAATAAATAGAAAATGTGGAACAAAAATCTGATCATGTAATTCGAATTTGAACTTCAAAGTATGTGTACATCAAATCACAAAAATGACTGTCAAGGTGGTGCTGCGCATTGAAAAAAACTGGGAGCTGGCAGCAATGGAAAGGGTAGAAACGAAACCAGTAATGCAGAGTATTCATAAGGTAGAGGGAGATGAAAACGGGAGAGGAGTAGTGAGCACTTCAGTTTGAAGTAGTGTCAATAGACAGCATCGTGTTGCATACGTTGTGAATATTGTGTGAATCTAATAATTGTCGCGAAATTGATATCCAAAATTATTATCCCCTGAGTAGTATTATGGTGTTCTCCTGTGTTAACATGCAGAGCCTTGACGTTGCTGGACGAGCGACAATATAAATTACATAAACATGTAGCTCGTGATGTGGGATGACTGCCGTATCGCATTGCCAACGCAAACCCATCCTGTGTCAGTGCAGCCATCCAGCAACTTGAACTCCCCGGACCAGATGCCGCTGCAGCTGAACACCATGCCGATGGAAAGCCAGGAGTTGATAGCGAAGCATTCTGGTCTGCACAGTACAAGGCAAAGAACAATTATGAATTATAATGCATTGTAGTCTTTCCCACACTTCTTTGTAAAAACAAACAAACAGTGCCATTATCACAACACTTGATAAAGCATCTTGATGGAGGTATTTTCCATTGTGCTGGCTCAGCATCTGCACCAGGAAGACCATGTACACTTACACGTATCTTGTGTGTGTGTGTTCGTGCGTGTGTGTTTGTGTATCTGTATGTGCACACGTGTGTGTGTGGGGGGGGGGGGGGGGACGCACATGTGTATGGGTAGGAATGTGTGTGTGTTGGGGGGGGGGGGGGTACACGCACATGTGTATGGATGTGCGCGCTGCATGCGTGTGTCTGTGGGATGGGGTGGGGCTGCACGCACATGTGTACATGTGTGTGCACAATACAGCATGTGTGTATGTGTTCGTTGAACACAGGGTGTACTCCTGATTACATAAACTTCGTGATCATTGTGATTTCATGTGCTTTGAAGTTGAAATTCGCAATACATGTACTGATGCTTGATTAGATTTATGTTCCACATGTTCTATTTATTTTATTTTACTTCAAGCACTTGTACTATTCAAGCACAACCCTACCAATGAAGGGAAAGAAGCAGCAAAGACACCTACTGAGTCTAATGACTGCCACTGCCAGTTCTCAAACAAAAACAATTTTTGTCGAATTGAAAAATCTCACCTGTTAGTGTTGCTCACTAGCCACTAGTGACTAGAGTTGTTCGTCCACGAAATTTGCAATATGCCACTACGGTACCAGCAAGAGTAGGTAAAGTTGGCATAGAACAACAGCTATGCAAAGCCATGTTCATCTCCTCTTCACTTTGGAAGGCAGTACAAGCACCCTTCATACCTCGACATTGCCTTGGAGTGGAAGCAAATTCACCATGAGTTTTCCAATTCGCTACGATCGATCTCGGGTGATGATCGTGTCTTCTTCATCACCACTGCAGCCTGGACAGCCTTCGGGAAGACATGTGTCACTCTCCTGCTCAACAGATTCCTACATCTAGATTTGGTTACCGTCAGGGAACGAAACAGAGCTGCAAAACACCAAAGTAATTGTTTTCTTCCATTCAATTACACTGCTGAACATGCACAGCATGGTGACAGCTAAGCAGTACGCACGTCATCAAGGCCAATTTCCAAATATGGGAGGTGTTATTTATGAAATTTGACACAGTTCCTCTTCTCTGATCGGCTCGAGACATAGCTCATCGGAATCAGTGCCCAATTCTCCTTCGGATAAGCCATACTTATTTTTGGCGTTCAGTTTCCCTTTAAGGGGTCGTCGCAAAAGTTTTTTGTCGTCCCTGAAACGAACATCATTCGTTTCGTACTTGGATCCCTCGGGTCCCTCCCCTCCCTCTGAAACGAACGTAGCGTGCTATGCTGGACGACGAAACTCGCATGCATGTACATTATGTAGTGTCGGCCGACGTGCGATTTTGGCTCGCACCTCCTCCCCCCCCCCCCAACGAATGTTGTTCGTTTCAGGGACGAAAAAGAAAACTTTTTCGACGACCGAAATTTGTTGCATTCGATTAATCATCACTTTGAAAATCATTATAATTATGAAGGTACCAGTTAGCCACTCTGCACCAGGGAGTCGTAAAATTGCTCTGCACCAAGCACACACTGCGGTTTTAGTAGGTGATATCCCGCACATGATTGTATTCAAGGACAAAGCTGGTGGCCTGGGCTGCACTGGACCAGCTCCCGCTGCAGAACTGTACAGTGCTTGTGCTGACAATGTACGTCTACTTGTAGCAGCATTTCCAGGGCATCAAGGGCCAAACAAGTCCAGGGCACCAGACCTGCACGGTGGCTCGGATTTTACCTGTCACAGCTGTAGTTCGCAAAGCCTCCACTGCCCACCCTACTTTAAACCTACATGTACACGAATGCCGTGCGGCAATGGCAACGTGCCACACAGCGGGATCATTGACACATACCGTCCCTAGTAGTTAGGGCAGAGCAATGAACCATGCACGGTTATAACACCTTTGCATTTCATTCTTCCTTCACATACACCAAATATGGAGACATCTCAGTAAACGGTTTGCAATAGATGTGGACTACTTGTAGATGCAATACTTTTGGATATTATCATACTTTTTTTTTGAAATTATCTGTTCCCCGGTCTATTTCTCCGTGTCCAAGATCTGATTCTCTTTCATGAGTTCAGTGTGAAGCAAACTCCTGTCCAGGCTTTGCACGGACTCGGATTTCGTCTTGAGTGCCAAAGCGGCGGCGGTTCCCGAGCTGTGTCCCATGATCATCCACTGCGGTTCAAGACGCAAGCATGAGAAGCCCACGTGCGAGGACGATACGGCACCGGGCACGAGCAGATTGGACGCTTCCTCTACACTGGGAAGGAGAACGTCATAGGGAATTTCAAATGGCCCGGGGTTGACTTCAACATCACCCTCATCAATGACTGCAAATTCAGCCGTAGTAGCACCACCCGGGTTTTTATGCTTGCAGCAAGGGTTGATTCTGCCTCCGCTGCTTTTCAAGCACTCGATGCTATCAGGGAGGCAGGGGTACCTCTGCGAGTTGTGTGCGTCAAAGTTGTAGGATCCGCAGCCAATGGAGCTCTCGTTGCGCTTGGTGCTATCGCCATCCCGTGCACTGTGCTCGGTGAAGACGAAGGGACCGAGCATGCGCCGCGCTTCGCGCACATACAGCTGCGCCGGCCAGTGCGGCTCGTACCATTCGTTGACCAGGTGTTCGTCCGCACACAGGCCATAGTCGAGCATGTTGGCGCGGATGGATGCATTGATAGCCGGATCGTGACCAAGAAACCAGAGAAGCTGATGTGTGTACAGGTAGTGCTGTCGGATGATCGCCTTCCGCTCCGTCCAATCGGCATCCGGATAGGCCCACGATCCCCCAATCAGGTCCGTCGACATCGGTCCAGCATTGTTAGTGTCGGACTTTCCGTTCGGAACGCTGCCGATGCCAAGGAAATGATACACTTTCGGATTGGAGTTGACCATGTCGGTTTGGGCGTAGCGGCGGACAAGCTCCCAGTCCTCAGGGTTGTACCCTTCTGGCTCGCTGATCTCTACTTTGTTGGTGGCGTTGGTTGTCAGGCATAAGCGTAGGTTGTACGCCCCGACCTTCTTGTCTGCGTCACCTGGCTTTCCCGGATCACCAGAATAGACAAAGTTGAGGGTTTTGTTGGTGGCGTGGTCGATGGGATCCACAGCCGTGTAAAACTACAGGATGCAAACAAAGAATGCAAACACAGGCGCACGCCATGTCGTCAGGACACGGGATAACTAGCATAATGAAAAGCCACTGCTACTGCTACTGAGGCAGAGCCAGTGCCTTTCAGTCACCCGTCCATTGTCCCGGCTCATGCATTCTTCTCACAAGTATGCTGCACACATCAAACCGACAAGAGAAGAAAGCACCGACCGGGGTTCGTTCCGGGTCTGAAAGTTCAAGCCTTGTCCTTGTCCTTGCATCCTAGGGGCAGTGCTTGCTCTGCACACGTTGTACAGTACAAGTACAGTGAAACCTGTCCAAGACGACCGCTCAACGGACCTTCAAAGCCTGGTCTCTGTTACCAGGTGGTCTCCTTAGCCAGGGTCGTTTGACTGGAAATAGCATCCCTTGGTACTGGTTTCAGTGGTCTTCTAGGACAGGTGGTCGCCTTATCCGAGTGGTCGCCTTATCCGAGTGGTCGCCTTGACGAGTGGTCGCCTTGCCAGGTTCTACTGTACAGTAAGATCGGGCGCCGAAGAACACCTCGCCGAAGAACACCCAGGCTGGAAAACCGGCAAATTTTAAGAACAGTCCAGGCTAGAATTATCAGATTTAAGAACACTAGATCTGCATTGTACGTAGATCTAAATTGTACATGTATGGGAGGTGAGTACATGTCATGTACACGTGTAAACAGTAACCTGGTAACTGCTACATGTACAGTCATTCCCATTTACGACACCCACTAGTTTAGAAGTACTACATTGCACTACATGTACATGTACATGACAAACGTCATGACGTCACTCGACTCGCCGCGCGCGTGTGAATAAGAACGGTCTGGCTAGAATCAAAAATTTAAGAACTTTCCTAGGCTGCGCTCGAGCCCCTGCGTTCTTCGGCGCCCGATCTTACTGTATTCAGATTGGTGTGCATGTAAAATGATGTAATCCGGGGCTGGTAGCAACATGAAAATCATGCTATAGCTGGACATGTAACTCTGGCATGGTTACCATGGTTACAGCGCTGATAGGTCCTCACACTCACGGTATGATGTACTACTGGGGGATGTAGGGTAGGCAACAGGGGCGTCGGACACGGTCACGGCGGTCACTACCGTATTGGCCGTACCATGCCACGTTTTGCCCCCAGGTATCCCGTGAATCAATAAAATACACGGATCTGGGTTCTAAAATTTCGGCTCGGCCACCCCTCCCCAACGAGTAAATTGCACTTCAGATGGCTGACCGTACCACACTAAAATACCTTCCAAAGCCCCTGGGCTGTTCAGTGAAGTTAAAGCACAGAATGCTCATTCGCTGCATCAGTTTCTTGAGTTTAAACTCGACGGGCGGCTGCAAGTTGACTTTCTACTTAGTGTACATACTATACTGAGCATGATGTGGACAGAAACTGGGAGAAGTACAGGCCAAACCGTGTACAGGAGAGTCGCGCGCTGAAGAATGTGGAGCCCAAGAACGTCCAGCCTGAAATTCTAAGAACGCAACAGCCTAAAGCTAAGAACGGCGGTGTTGGTTTCTGGAATCTTGTGGGATACATATGATCCAGTACGAATTGTTTCTAAGAACGTGCTATAAGAACGCAGGCAGATTTCTTGAAAAATAAGAGTGTCCCAGGCTAACCCCTTGGAAACAATGTTCTTGGGTGCGCGACTCTACTGTACGCCAGAACGCATCTCGGCCCCGACTCGGTTGTGAACGACGTCGAGCAATTTCGAGTGAGTGGATGTGTTGTGTCGACGTGGATAGTCTATGCAGACATTGCAGTGTACCTGGAGTGGATGCGATGTGCATTCCACCCTCAAAAGACCACTCGTCTTGAGTTCGTTTGTTTGCGATAAGGAATATTCAGGCTAGTTTGAGCTTGAGTGTTTCAAATAATTGTTGTCACGTGACTATAATAGTGTAGCACGTGATCATGACGGTGTAACCAACATGGCCGACATCACGTGATCCATTAATGCAGGGGATTGAGTGGTTTCCTTTGCAGGGAGTTTCACCTTTTGAATGGGTGTGAGTGTGTGCGTGGGGTCTGATGTAAACAAATCTTAAAAGGAATCTATACTAGTACCTGATTTGACGGACTGTACAGCTGCCTTCCTGCCAGAGATTCATTATACTGAGACACAGCTTCTCGTCCGTACGTGTATCGAACACCGGACATTGCCATCAGATCTCCCTCGTATGTTGCATCAATGAACACATCGCTACTGTAGACAGTGCCGCTGCTTGACGTGATGCTGCTGATGCGCTTGTGGCCAGTGCTGCCAGCCGAGCCCATGGTCACCTTGGTCAAGAGCTCACTCACTTCGACGGTTACGTTGGACGCGTTCAGTAGATTGGCGAAGGCTTTCGACGCAACGCTCGGTTCAAAATAGTACGTGGGCTGTGTGTGTCCGTACAGGCGGCCAACTTCCAGGAAGAACTCTGCGGCTATTCCCCCGATCAATGCCTCTCCGCGAGAGCCCCCGGTGTCGGTTTTTCCCAGGCCGCCAGTGACCATACCGCCGATGTGTGCGTGGCTGCTGAGCAAACACACCCGATCATGCTGAGTGGTGCCTTTCAGCTGTCGCGATGCAGCGATTGCAGAGCACAAGCCGGCCGGAGTGGAGCCGTAGACGAGGACGCTGCATTGGCGCTGCACCGCTGAGCAGGCTGGAGTGATACCAGCAGCTGCCAGGCAAATGGCCAGCAGCAGAGCGGCAAGAGTCGTTTTCTTGGCCATGTCCATAATTATGGCATATGGGTCGAGTAAAAAGACGCATTTCGATACAGGTGGTGTCCTGTTTTATTTTAAAAATACATGTATGTATTTTCCAAGCCTGTCACCATGGTCACCGTCATGCATACACGCACACACTGTCTGTATCATGTGTTGTTACAGTGGCTTTTCCAAGTCTTTGTGCACGACCACACGATCCGGTACGGTCTGACACTGACGTCGCTCCGATGGGGTGCATGGCAGCATGGCCCCGCGCCACCCAGGCCAGGATTTCGGACCGCGAATGGGAGTGGACTGCACTGGGGGGAGTGGGGGCAGCGTGGCCGGTGTGGGTGTGAGTCTGTGTCGTACTGGTAGATCTACAGACAGTGCTGGCAACTGAAATCCGACACCTGAGCGGTGCGCTCACATCGCAAAGACCCAACACGGGATGGTAAAACTACGAAACAGAGACCGCTAGCATGTGGACGCATAGCTCAGGGATCGGATTTCAGTTGCCAGCACTGTACATTGTACTACTACACAGTACAAGTAGCAAGAGTAGATGTTTATCTACTCTAGAGTCTAGTCCGCTCTATTCATTCTTTATCCACTGGCGATGTTGTTCAGAACAAAGAAACGTCTGGAGAAGTATCAAAATAATACCATGCACAGCAGCATCACCACTCTTTGGTCTAAAAAGAATACTTTTTGATATCTCTACTCTTTCTTGCAGTTGTGGTAGATTTGGAGATCAAGATCTCTCCCTGTGGATCTACGGTCCGGACCGGCGGTAGAGTCATGAACTAAGTACTAAAGACTAAGTAGTTACTTGCACCAGGTACCCGCCCGCACAGCCACATGTACGCATGCGTGGACTGAGTCTGTTCGTGGCCCAGTTAGCATTTTACCAGTGTTATGTAGGTGGACCATGCATGGCCTCCAGGAGTAACTAATAATTATTGCTTACAATAATAGTTACTTGACCTATCGAGTACGTTTTGAAACGTATTTGCTACGCCGAGCGAAAGCTCACTGCCAACGCGTGAGAACAGGCAGCTTGGGTGATAACACTATTTGTCCGGGATTGCTGTAGCGATGAAGTGGTGGGAGATCCTAGCCTTGGAGGAGTTGCTTCCAGTCCTCCACAAACGCCTCCATTCAACGGTCATGGACATTGTAGACATGATCGTCTCGGTTCAAATGCTTGATCTTGGCAGCGTCGAGTACGCTAGAATTACCCACTGCCAACTGATCCCACACGAACGAGTAACTGAGCTGCTGCGACAACTGATTATCGTGTCGGCTGAGACGGACGCCCTCGCTGGCGATGCTCCCGATGGCCCTCCGTCTGAGGAATTCACCCAGCTATGTAAAGCAATCCGTGAGGTAGGTGAAACGGACGTGGCTGAACAGCTGGAAGCGAAGATACAACAATGTAAGAAAACTGGAAGCCCTGAGGAATTAGTGAAGTGCCGCTTGCTGAAGTCCAGAGTAGTAGGCTGTCTGGAAGAGTCGATAGAGGAGGTATGTGAAATGTACCACCAGGTAGCTGAAAATGAACGTGTGGTATTGCTGACAGCAGAGGAAAGAAAGCAGAAATGCCTGGCAAAATATAGCCAGTATTTGCAGAGCCTGTGCCGGCAACGTTGCAGGAGATCCGATATGTCATGTGCCGCTGACGAGTTCATGCAGGCGGATGCTCGCAAGGCATACATTTCCATGCAAGCACTGAGTCAGAGAGAAGCCCTGCGTGCTGCCAGAGCATACAAACAGAAAGGCAAGGGCAGAGTAACTGAGCTAGAAGAGGCACCAGACGATCAGAGATCATTTCCATTGGAGAACCCGTCTCAACTTCTCACAGCACCGCAACAAAACAGAAGAGCAAGGAGGTCGAATGGGGCAAGTGCTACTGAAGGCTCCTCCGGCAAGTGTGCGGCAATTAGGGAACCATGTAAGACCATGATTATGGCAGATGCTGGTAGAGGCAAGACCATGTTGTGCAGACAGGTGATGGCAGATTTCGTATACAAGGAAAGAGACGATGCTGCCACTGCTGCAGAGGATATTCGGCATCAGTTCGACTTTGTCATTCCCATCTGTGTTCAAGAAGAAGACAGCCTTTCCACAACAAGTTGGAGTGATTTTCTCGGTTTTGACCAACTTGGGCTGACCAGCGTGTTGAAGGAAAAGGAGAGGGAAATCGTTTTGGAGCACTTGTCGGCTAACTCCGACCGGGTACTGCTCATCATTGATGGTGTTGACGAGAGCGGTGCAGATGCTTTCCGCTACAACTCAGCCGCACGTGCATTCATGGAGGGCGAGAAGAGCATGCTAATGGATGCTTCCGCCATCATCACCAGCCGCCCATGCCAACAGGCATACGCGATTGTACAAGATTGCGCCAGGCACTATCGGCTTGGTGGATTCAGCGAGAAACAGCTGCAAGAGTTTGTGTGCAGTCGACTAGGAGAGGAAGACGCCATGGCATGCATGTCAGAGCTCAGTCATCCGGCCTACAAACATTTGAAACAAGCAGTGAAAAGCACGCCGCTACTGGCCACACTACTTTGTCAGCAGTACTTTCTCTCTAACAGTGTTCCTGCATGCACTACTCTGTTCTATGTACAGTACCTGTGCTCCGCCATTGCACGACTGGAGATGAAGCCCGGTGCCACTTTCGGCAATGTGTCTTTGGCACGCGCAGTCCAGAGTGAGTTCTGCGGAGGACGGCTATTCGAATGTGGTGAGGAGGTAAGCCTGTACACTGTTGTTGAACATCACCTTGAAGAGTTTGTGGTAACTGACAGACCAAGTGAACGCAATGCTGAGTGTGTGGAGATAGTGCAAGCTCTTTCCGCTTTGTACAAGCTTTGCTTAGAAGGGCTTCGTAAGCGTTCCTTCTCTTTTCCGGCAACTGCATTGCCAGAGATTGCTGTAAGCAAGTGTCTAGATCTTGGCTTACTCTTGCAGAACAGAGATCGGAGGTCATCTTACCGAGGCCAAGTCACCATCGCTCTCCCACACGTAACAATGCAAGAGTGGTGCGCTGCACGTGCATGTGCCTCAGAAACAAATTCAGTTAGCAGCGCTAGAGAGTGTTTGGGAGACTTTGGCGTGGAGAAGGAGAGGTGGGAGTTCTGGAAGTTCTTTGTCGGGACAGCTCGGAGTCATGTCTTGGACGAGATATTGGCTGGAATGAAGAATTCATCGCCATTCGCTGGATCCTTAGCGAAGAGGTTTCGGCTTTTCCTCATGCAATGTTTTATGGAACACCGCCTGTCAACAGGAAAATTAGGCTCAACCTCGACTTCTATCCCGCCGCAGTCATTCACTTTCGCCAAGGAGTCTGTGAATTTATCTGGCATGACCCTTGATGACACAGACATCAAATCTGTGTGTAGTGTATTGGAGGTTGTGAACAAAGGAACTGTTGATTCTCTTAATCTGGAAGGCTGCAATTTGAAGGAGCATCAAGTAGCAGAACTTTCGCCACTTCTGGAAAAGGCTCGTGTTGTGGACATATCTTCCAATCCCCTCAGTGGATTTCCACTGAAGAGCGTTTCTGATCAGCTGAAGGTGTCAACAGGCATGGAGACTCTGCTGCTGAGATCTCTTCATCTTACCAAAGCAGAGCAAGATGGAGCATCACTGGCAGCGTGCTTCATGCATTCGTCCTTGACAGCGTTGTCACTGAGACGTTGCACAGTGGATGTGTGTTTGGCGTCATTAATAGCAAAGAACATTTCCTTATGTTCACAGCTCAAAACATTGTCACTGGGAGAGATTTCTTTGGGTTACGGGTGCGGGACAGATCTAGCACAGCTCATGACCCATTTGCCAAATCTGCAGACTGTATTCTTGGATATGATTGGCCTTGGTGATGATGATCTTGGAAAGGTTTTGTCAGCGCTCAGCGTCCATCATTCCATAGCCAAATGCAACTTTACCGACAATCAGCTCAGCGACACAATTAGTGATCATCTGCTAAGCTTCTTTCGCAGTCGACGTTCTCAGGAACAGGAGCATAGTGCCGGTGTCGAAGCAGCTACACCATCTTCACAACCAACCCAGTGTGAAATCCTGCTAAGCGGAAATCCTGGGGTTACACTCGCCCTGCTTGAAAAGCTGGCTCAGTCTGGAGTATGTGGCAACGATGCCGTGCACTTCAGTTGCTGGTCTGTCACATCCACCTCGGCCATCCGTAAAAGTGTATCTACACTAGTCAACGAGCATGGCGGGAACCTGCACGGCTTCGTACCAGATAGTTCAATGGCTGAGCTAGGAGAATTCCTTGTGACCGACTCTACCCTGAAAAAAGTGTTCCTCGAGCGCAACCAGCTAACTGACATTGGCGTACATTGCATGGTGATGCATGGGCCCAGCCAATACCAGTATATCCGTTACCTGACCCTTGCTGGTAATAACATACACCTGAGTGGAGCTGCTGTTCTTGTTGACGCCTTCAGAAACTCAGCACTGCTAGTTCTATCATTGGACAGGAATCCTCTCTTCCACGGTGCTGACACAATGTCAACAGACTATGCTCTCTTCTTCTCTAGCCTGGCAGAGCTCAAGCATACGAAATGCATCTCGCTGCAGAGGACGGGAGCTGATACGAGTGTAGCTGAGAAGCTTTTCGACACTCTGCGACCACTGTCGGTAGTCTTTCTCAACCTGGGGGAAAACCAGATTGGAGATGATGTCACCACACTGCTAGTATCCCTGCAAGAGTGCAACCACTCCATGGAGATTATAGATCTGGAGAAGAACAGCATCACTGACAGTGGAGTGACCGTTCTGACCAGCTGTCCAGCCGTCATGGATATGGAACGAGTGCTTCTCTCTGGCAACCCCATCTCAGAGCAAGTAGTGCCCAGGCCTCTGTTACTGGCCGAACACTCCTATAATGGCGACTTCTTGGTAGCCATTGCTGAAGAGCATGGCCAATGATTCCTCAACTGACCGTTCAGGGACCGAGCTTACTGAGCGTGGTGCAGAATGTCCCCTCGCTCAATGACTGGCCACTCGCAGAATGTA